TGTGGTCTCCGTGAGAGGAAGTGGAGATCGAGTGAGCCGTGTTCCCACCCTGCCAGTTGTTGAATGGTTCTTTCTTTCCTTGGCTCCTGGAGAACAGCTACATTCTTATCTACCAGGCTCCGCCAAGCGGGCCGAAGGTGGGGGCGGGGGTGGGGGTGGGAGTGGTGAGAAATTATGTCTGTATTTTGATTAGAATGACACTACAGATTACTTTACTTCGGAGAAAACTGCTGCCTTTGTATATTTAATGCTTCCATCCAGGAAGTGTCTATTTTTCAAGCCTCACTTTTTTTTTGGATAATGCTTGGTAGTTTCTCTAGTCTATCAAACATTTTCTGAGACTCCTAGGTTTTGTAGACTCGGGGCCTCCCATGCTCCCATTTCTCCCAGTTATCTCCCTGTAAACGGAAGGGACAGGAATCAAGGACCATGCCCCTGCATCTGTGGTGCCCCCCACCCCTGTGCACCTGTGGGTACCCCACCTGCAGACCATGCCCCTGCCCTCAGAGACATTCTGAAGCAGACCAGTGGAATCAAGTTTAGGAAGCAAAATGGCATGGCCTGGGGCTGGTGCAGGAAGGAAGGAAGCTGGACGGGGGACAGGTCTCCTGTGCAGGCTTTGGAGGAGGCAGGTGCTGGGCAAACAAGAAGGGTGCCTGCAGGTGCTGCAGGGTCTGCAGGTGGGGTACCCACAGGTGCAAAGGGGTTGGGAGGCACCCACAGGTGCAGGCAGGCTGGAGCTGGAGTGCAGGTGGCTGGGGGAAGAAGGGAGGGAGATGAGGTTGGATGTGCTGGGCCCCGCCAGTCTGTGTGGAGACCTATCTGAGGCTGTCATAAAAACGCAGGTGAGAGGAGGCTAGGCTTGGAGGTGGGTCCTCCAAAGAGCCGCATCCAGGGTGTATGGGGGAGCTCCAACTCCAGGCAGCTGTTCCAGCCTCAGAGGTAGGCCGTGCCCTGGGATGGGGTAACTGCTGGGTCTGGATAGGTTGGCAAAGGAGGGCTGTGGACATGAGCAGGAGGGTGGCTTGAGGCCTGTTTCAGGCCCAAGAGGAGTGTGGCTGTTCAACACAGCTGCGTGACATTGTGACTAAACACCATGTCCGACAATAGTCATTCATGTCATTAATTTAGATGCTACTAAATTGTTAACTATTTCAGTATCATTTCATTACTATTATTATTATTATTATTATTATTATTTTGCAGAGATGAGGTCTTGCTATGTTGCCCAGGCTGGTCTTGAACTCCTGGGCTCAAGTGATCCTCCTGCCTCAGCCTCCCAAAGTGCTGGGATTACAGGCATGAGCCACTGTGCCTGGCCCTTTTTTTTTTCTTCAGATGATGTCTCACTATATTGCCCAGGCTGGTCTGGAACCTCTGGGTTCAAGTGATCCTCCCACTTTAGCCTCCCAAAATGCTGCAATTACAGGTGTGGGCCACCGCACCCGGCCTATAGCAATTTTCATGTCAGACAAAATAGGTTTTTTGGTGAAATACAACATGAGGGGTTATAAGGGATGTTACATACTGGTAAAGGGAGGAAAAGATCAAGAAGGCAAAAAACCTAAACATATATGCACCTAACAATGCACCTCAAAACACATAAAGCAACAATTGACAAAAACAGATAAATTGATAATTGTAGTTTAAGAACTAATATTTTCCTCTCAGAAGAATTAACATTACAGTAATTTAATTCTCTGACCAGAATGTAAAAATATTAGAAATCAATAACAGACAAAAAAATAAAATTCTACAAATCTAGAAACTGAAGGAAAAATTCCATTTAAGTTAAAGCAAAATGAGTGAATTGTAAGTCCTGCTAGGGAAGGACAAGGGAACCATGGGGATGCCAAGATTTAGGAGACACGGTAAAAGCAAAGCAGCGCTTGGGGGAATATGCATTTCTTCGGCTGCACTGATCAGAAAACAAGACAGATTTCAGATTTGAAGAAGGCATCACGAAGCTAGCACTCCTCCACTATCCTTGTAAACCATCCAAAAGCAAAAAAAAATAATAATAATGAAAAGCAAAAATGCAAACTTCATTTTCATTAAAACTAAGAGCTAGAACTGGTGATGGTGGAGGGGGGCTACCACAGGCTGCAGGAATTTGGCAAGGGCCGTGTCGAAGACACACAGATGCCTCGTTAAAGACCAGAAAGCGCAGGGAGAGGGCACTTCTCAGAGGCGAGGGCAGCCCTGAGGGGAGGACCTAATTCCTTGTTTCAGGAGTAGGAACACGGGCTGGCAGCAAGTGCTTCCCTGACCTTGTCCTGTTCCTGGAAGAGAGGAGGGAGAGTGAACCAGGAACAGAACAGGCCGTATCTGCAAAGTGCAGTATATGTGGGGAAAGGGAAGAGAGAAGCTGTATCAGCTGTTAAAAGCCTGACAGGTGCAGACTTGTACTTAAAGCTAAAATCAACAACAAAACTCTGCTAGATTGGAAAATGGCTCTGGCTTCATTTTCCATACAAACTTTTTCAAATAGCTAGTCAAGTAAAAATTTACCTGTTTTTTTTTTTTTTTTTTGGAGACGGAGTCTCACTCTGTCCCCCTTGCTGGAGTGCAGTGGCCGCATCTCAGCTCACTGAAAGCTCCGCCTGCCGGGTTCACGCCATTCTCCTGCCTCAGACTCCCAAGTAGCTGGGACTACAGGCGCCCGCCACCTTGCCCGGCTAGTTTTTTTTGTATTTTTTAGTAGAGACGGGGTTTCACCGTGTTAGCCAGGATGGTCTCGATCTCCTGACCTCGTGATCCGCCCATCTCGGCCTCCCTAAGTGCTGGGATTACAGGCTTGAGCCACCGCGCCCGGCCAAATTTACCTGTTTTAAAGATGAGGCCAGGCACAGTGGCTCATGCCTGTAATACCAGCCCTTTGAGAGGGTAACGTGAGAGGACTGCTTGAGCCCAGGAGTTCAAGACCAGCCTGGGCAACATAGCAAGGCCTTGTCTCTACAAAAAACTAAAACAATCTTAGCTGAGCGTGTTGGTGTGTGCCTGTGGTCCCAGCTACTTGGGAGGCTGAGGTGGGAGAATCGCTCGAGCCCAAGAGGTCGAGGCTGCAGTGGGCTGAGATTGCGGCCCTGCACTCCAGCCTGGGTGACAGAATGAGACACTGCCTCTAAAAAGAAAAATAAAAAACAATGAGGGGGGAGCCAAGAAACGAAAGTGCTCCAAGAGGAGAGGAGAAAGGAAACAAACTAATGAACACGAACAGTCTCCAGAAGAACTTTCCACTGAGTTGATGAAAATTCGGATAACATGTTTTGTTGTAAATTAAAAACGCGAGGAGGGGCCGGGCGCGGTGGCTCAAGCCTGTAATCCCAGCACTTTGGGAGGCCGAGATGGGCGGATCACGAGGTCAGGAGATCGAGACCAGCCTGGCTAATACGGTGAAACCCCGTCTCTACTAAAAAATACCACAAAAAACTAGCCGGACGAGGTGGCGGGCGCCTGTAGTCCCAGCTACTCCGGAGGCTGAGGCAGGAGAATGGCGTAGACCCGGGAGGTGGAGCTTGCAGTGAGCTGAGATCCGGCCACTGCACTCCAGCCTGGGCGACAGAGCGAGACTCCGTCTCAAAAAAAAAAAAAAAAAAAAAACGTGAGGAGGCAGTGCCCCTAAGAATCCTGAGCCCAAAGGAGAGCCATAGAGTGCAGGTGGGAGGGTCAGGAAGACAGAGCGGGACGCGGCTGTGTGGAAGACAGAGAGAAACGCACCACAGTCGTGATGCCGGAACTGAAGCACACGGGAACAGAAGCCAGCCACACAACCCCATACCTTCCTAAGGCAGAAGGGAAGCTGCATCAATCCCAAGAACACTTACAATAGCGTTTGTGGGGAGGGGCTGGCGGAACCAGACTCAGACAAGCCAAGTCTAAAAAGTATACGAAAATAGGCCGGGCATGGTGACTCACACCTGCAATCTCAGCACTTTGGGAGGCTGAGGCAGGAGGATCGCTTGAGTCCAGGAATTTGAGATCAGCCTGGGCAACACAGGGAGACACCATCTCTACTAAAATTTTTTTTTTTTTTTTTTTTTTTTGAGGCAGTCTCATTCCCTCACCCAGACTGGAAAGAGGTGGTGCAATCTCAGCTCCCTGCAACCTCCACCTCCCAGGTTCAAGCGATTCTCATGCCTCAGCCCCCCAGGTAGCTGGGATTACAGGCATGCACCACCAGGCCCAGCGAATTTTTGTATTTTTAGTAGAGGCAGGGTTTCACCATGTTGGCCAGGCTGGTCTTGAACTCCTGACCTCAACTGATCCATCTGCCTCGGCCTCCCAAAGTGCTGAGATTACAGGCGTGAGCCACTGCCTCCAGCCCTCTCTCTACTAAATTTAAAAAGAAAGAAAAAAGAAAAAACAAATACATGCAAATAACCAAGAAAATTCTGAGAGAGAAGGGTAAAGAGGAGATCCTAGATCAGCCAGACAGGTAAAAGGACCAGGAAGTGACACTGATTCCGACCCGATGGAACTGCCTGTGAACAGACTGATTGCGGCTGAACGAACCGTCCGGATACAGCCCCAAACGCACATGGAACATTTAGCATCATAACAAAGGCGGGAGTCCAAATACGCAGGAAGCATGAGCAATGGAAAACTGGGAGCCATTGCCATTGGGGGTTAATAAGAAGGGATTCTGGCCGGGAGCGGTGGCTCACTCCTGTAATCCCAGCACTCTGGGAGTCCGAGGCGGGCAGATCACAAGGTCAGGAGTTTGAGACCAGCCAGGCCAACATGGTGAAACCCCATCTCTACTAAAAATACAAAATTAGCCTGGAGCGGTGGCGGGTGCCACTACTCGGGAGGCTGAGGCAGGAGAATCACTTGAACCCGGGAGGCGGAGGTTGCAGTGAGCTGAGATCACACCATTGCACTCCAGCCTAGGCAACAAGAGCAAAACTCTGTCTCAAAGGAAAAAAAAAAAAAAAAAAAAAAAACCAGAAAAGATAAAAAACAAGGACATTAAATTACACAAAAATAAAAAATATGAACATAAAAAAACACCACACGAAACATTTAAAAATATGAAGAACTGGGAGAAAACATTTGCACTGCTATCACCAAAAAGGCCGAATTTCTCTCACATATAACGAGCTGCTACAAATCAGTAAGACAGACGACAATCTAATATACAGAGGAGCAGAGAACTGAAGAACAGGAAAAGGAAGTAACTCCTAAACACACACGAAGAGGCACGACCTCCTAACAGAGGCGCTGATTCCAACCCTGCCTGCCACCGGCAAAAGCTCCGTGTGGCTCCACGACTCTCAGACGCTGCTGCTGGGGGCAGCCTCCGGGTGGGCAGCGGAGGCTGAGGCGATGGTGTCCACCACACGTGGTGTGCAGGCAGCCTCGACTAAGCAAGCCGGGGCACTTACACGTGTATTTTCACACACTGCAGCCTGTAAGGTTTCTATTCTAACAGTATCTGTGATGGCAAAGGACTGGAAACAGCCTACAATGCGCATGAAGGAGAGAATGCTTAAATGAATGTGGCACGTCCTCATGATGGAAGACAGAAGCTGCAAGGTAAGAAGGGGACGCCCTCCACGCAGGCACACAGGACGGACGCGTGCTCCCGCCCCAACACATCGCACGTCCCACCACTCTAGCTGCTTCGAAGCAGCATCCGTCTCTCTCCACCCTTCTTCCTACGTCATGGACCCATGCAGTCCCCACAAGGTGCACCCTTCAAATAGACCTTCCTGAAAACATCCTGAGACCATTCGCAGGAGCTGGCACTGTGACCTGCTGAGTTTACCAGGCCTATGACTTAGGTGCACAGCAGAGTCTCAGGGGGATGATGTCTGTGCAGCAAAGCAGGATGAGGACAAGGATGCGGCGTGACGCTTGTCTGGCCCCCGAGGCTGAGCATCACTGGGGTTGGCCTGGCTCTTCCCCGGGAGCCGGGCTGTCTAAAGTGTACCAACGCCTGCGCGTCTCACCTAGAACGTGGACGTTCCATTCTATGTCAGCACGCACCCGGGTGTACAGTGCTGCGCTAGGAGGTGGCATGGTTTCTGCCCTTCAGGGCTTTGCACCATAACCTGGGAAACACTCAGGTGCCAAATGAGAGGTAAGGAGACTCCGTGCATTACTCAACCAAAGTGCAGGGATTTCAGGGTGTGGGAGGCATGCAGGGTGCTGACTCTCCACATGCCCCTCGGAGAGGGTGGCCCCCACCAGCTGCCAGCTGTGGGCAGCTCCTGGGGAGGGCAGTCTCCTACCTGGAGTTGAGTCACCCTGGGAGGTGAGGCCAGAAGGGCTGGATCCCAGGTCTAGCAACCTCCAAGTGTCCTGGAGGGCGCCACTGGCAAGGGAGGAGGAGCTGTGGGATTGGCGGCCATGCTCCTCAGGGCGCTTGGGAGCCTGGGGTGGCTTTGGGGACCTGCCTTCTTTCTGCCGAGGTGATTTACAGGTCACCGTGTGGATGCTGCGTTGTGTCTAGAAAAGACATCATCGTCTTGAAAGCCACCCTCTCCAACCCAGAGGAAGCCACAGGACTCCCCCAGCCACTCCCCTGGAAGCAGTAAGGAGACAGTGGGCCTGGCTCAAAGGCCCAGGCAGATGCTCCCAGGACCACCCAGGAGAGGCAGCTGCAGACAGGGGTGCATCTGGGGAGTGAGTCTCAGCGCTGGGAACGCCGAGTGTGAGCAGGGCCTGAATCTCAGTGCTCATCTCAACAAACGACAAAACACGTCTAGGGCAGAGGCTGCCCCGTTTCGATGGGGAATGAGTTGAAATGCAGGGCAGATACCCTGAGGGGCACAGCAACGAACGGCCAGCGTGGGCCCCGTGTGCTTTAGGGGTCCTGGGGCCCTCCCAACACCTTTACCGCCCTTGTGGGACCACCCAGCAAACGCTCTGCAGCTCACCCTGCCATTGCGAGCAGCCCCTGGCCATGGCACAAAGGCAGGTGCAGAGCGAAGGCCCCACCGAGAGGCCCAGAGGGCCCAGACCCCAGCTTCCCTGCCGGCCACACCCCACGCAGCCGCACCGGCACAGGCACTGCCACTCTCACCTTCGGGCCTCGCAGGGCATCAAATCTGCTGCCCACCTGTGCTGGGCGGGGCCGGTGCTTTCCCAAGGGTCCCAAAGGACACTCCTCCTCGGCACTCTTGGCGTCCTGCCGTGGGGATTTACACGAGAGGACTCTGGTATTCACATTCACTGATGGTGTGTGTCCGTGAGTCTTCCCACAAGATTGGGAAGGAATGCCTCCCCACATTTCTGGTATTAAAGACTCACATCATTTGGTGACAGCCTAGACTGAAGGGACCTGTTTCCCAGACAGGATGAATGGAGCAGGCTTCCCCAATCATTCATTCCCAGGAGCCTCCTCTGCAAGGCCAGGGCAGCCTGTGCATGGCCTGCCTGGGGTGAGAGCCCCCTGGCCCAAGATGGGCACAAGTGGCCCCCAGTGATACCGCCTGGCTGATTCTGCTGCTTCTTTTTGTTTTGAGATGGAGTCTCACTCTGTCACCCAGACTAGAGTGCAGTGGCGCGATCTCAGCTCACTGCAACCTCCACCTCCTGGGTTCAAGCGATTCTCCTGCCTCAGCCTCCCAAGTAGCTGGGATGACAGGCGCCCGCCACCACGTTTGGCTAGTTTTTGTATTTTTAGTAAAGATGGGGTTTTACCATGTTGGTCAGGCTGGTCTTGAACTCCTGACCTCAGGTGATCTGCCCGTCTCAGCCTCCCAAAGTGCTGGGATCACTGATGTGAGCCACCATGCCCGGCCACTTATTTTCTGGGGGTGGGGGGGTGGAGAGACAGAGTCTCACTCTGTCACCCAGGCTGGAGTACAATGGCACCATCTCGGCTCACTGCATCCTCTGCCTCCCGGGTTGAAGTGATTCTCCTGGCCCAGCTTCCTGAGTAGCTGGGATTACGGGCACCTGCCACCACGCCTGGCTAATTTTTTGTATTTTTGGTAGAGATGAGGGTTTGTCATGTTGCCCAGGCTGGTCTCGAACTCCTGACCTCATGTGATCCATCTGTCTTGGCCTCCCAAAGTGCTGGGATTACAGGTGTGAGCCACTGGGCCCAAACATCGGCCACATTTTTTTAAAAGAAAAATAAATTTAGGCCGGGTGTGTTAGCTCATGCCTGTAATCCCAGCACTTTGGGAGGCTGAGGCGGGAGGGTCACTTGAGTTCAGGAATTCTAGGCCGAGACAGGTGGATTACTTGAAGTCAGGAGTTCGAGACCAGCTTGGTCAATACGGCAAAACCTCGTCTCTACAAAAATACAAAAATTAACTGTGTGTGGTGGTGTGTGCCTGTAGTCCCAGCTGCTCAGAAGGCTGAGGCAGGAGAATCACTTGAACCTGGGAGGCAGAGGTTGCAGTGAGCTGAGATGGTGCCATTGCACTCCAGCCTGGGTGACAGAGTGAGACTCCATCTCATAATGAATAAATAAATAAAATAAATACAGGCCGGGCCTGGTAGCTCATGCCTGTAATCCCAGCATTTGGGAGGCAGAGGTGGGCAAATTGCTTCAGTACAGGAGTTCGAGACCAGCCTGAATGACACAGTGAAACCCTGTCTCTATTAAAAGAAAAAAAAAAAGCCAGGCGTGGTGGTGTGCGCCTGTAGTCCCAGCTACTCGGGAGGCTGAGGTGGAAAGATCACTTGAGCCTGGGAGATGGAAATTGCAATGAGCCGACATTGTGCCACTGCACTCCAGCCTGGGCGACAGAGCAAGACCCTGTCTCAAATATAAATAAATAAATTTTAAAAAGAAATAAAAAAGGAAACAAAAAGGGTCTTGGCTCCATAGAGGTTTCTTTTCTCAGTTTTAAGAGTTATTTCTCGGCCGGGCGCGGTGGCTCAAGCCTGTCATCCCAGCACTTTGGGAGGCTGAGGCGGGAGGGTCACTTGAGTTCAGGAATTCTAGGCCAGCCTAGGCAACATGGCGAAAACCTATCTCTATAAAAAATACAAAAATTAAGGCCGGGCGTGGGGGCGGGCGCCTGTAATCCCAGCTACTTGGGAGGCTGAGGCAGGAGAATTGCTTGAACCTGGGAGGCAGAGGTTGCAGTGAGCCCAAATTGTGCCACTACACTCCAGCCTTGGGTGACAGAGCGAGACTCCGTCTCAAAAAAAAAAAAAAAAAGAAAGGACAGCCAAGAAAATTTTGTAAAGGAACAGAAAGAAATAAGGTCAAGCTTGCTCTAAGAGAGATTAAAATATGTCACAAAGCCACAGTATTTAAAGCAGTATAGCACCATTTCAGGAACAGACAACTCATTGGAACTGGGTAGAAAACCCCAAAATCGATGCAGAAGCTGAACTTCTCAAGGCTGCAGCATCAGACAGATCCATAGTCTACAAGACACTGACGGATTTTTCAAAAAGACACAGAAAGGCGGAGGGAGTGTCTGGGTGAAAGGATAAAAACACAAGAGCCAGATGCAGCAGGAATTCTGGGCTCTGAGGTTACGGAAAACCAGCAAGGAACACACAGAAATCACCCACAGAAGAAGAACTACAAATGGCCAATAAATAGATTAAAAGCATTTAATGCCACTAAGGACATAAGAAACGTCTGTCTTTGTTTTTTTGATAGAGACAGCGTCTCACTGTGTTGCTCCGGCTGGTCTTGATCTCCTGGGCTCAGCTAGTCCTCTCACCTCAGCCTTCTGAGTCTGGGGTTACGAGGTGTGCGCCACCACACATGGGTAATTTATTTTTATTTTTATTTTTCTGTAGAGACAGTCTTGCTGTTTTGTGTTTTTTTTGAGACGGAGTCTTGCCCTGTCACCCAGGCTGGAGTGCAGTGGTACGATCTCGGCTCATTGCAGCCTCTCCCTCCCGGGTTCAAGCGATTCTCCTGCCTCAGCCTCCTGAGTAGCTGGGATTACAGGCGCCCGCCACCACGCCCGGCTAATTTTTGTATTTTTAGTAGAAATGGGGTTTCACCATGTTGGTCAGGCTGGTCTCAAACTCTTGACCTCATGATCCACCCACCTCAGCCTCCCAAAGTGCTGGGATTATGGGCATGAGCCACCCCACCCAGCCATCTTGCTATCTTTTAAAAGATACGAGTTGTGGCTGGGTGCACTGACTCATGCCCATAATCCCAGTACTTTGAGAGGCCGTGGTGGGCAGATTGCTTGAGCCCAGGAGTTCAAGACCAGCTTGGGTAACATGGCAAAACTCCATTTCTACCAAAAAAAAAAAAAAAATTAGCCATTAGGGATAGTGGCGCACACCTGTGGTCCCAGCTACTTGGGAGGCTGAGGTGGGAGGATCATTTGAGCCTAGGAAGTCGAGGCTGCAGTGAGCTGTGATGGCAGCACAGCACTCTAGCCTGGGTGACAGAGCCACATCCTGTCTCAAAAAAAAAAAAAAAAGATAGAAGTTTTTGGGTTTTTTTTTCACTTATCATACTGGTAAAGATTTAAAAAATAGTACCCAGATATGTAAAGTTATAGTAAAACATATACATGATACAATTTATAATTAAAAAATAAAAAAAACGGGGGTTGGGTGCCGTGGCTCACACCTGTAATCCCAGCACTTTGGGAGGCAGAGGCAGGTAGATCACCTGAGGTCAGGGGTTTGAAACCAGCCTGGCCAACATGGTAAAACCCCATCTCTACTAAAAATACAAAAATTAGCCATGCATGGTAGCATGCGCCTGTAATCCCAGCTACTCGGGAGGCTGAGGCAGGAGAATTGCTGGACCCCGGGAGGGGGAGATTGCAGTGAGCCGAGATTGCACCATTGCACTCCAGCCTGGGCAACAGAGCAAGACTCCGACTCAAAAAACAAACAAACAAACCAACCCCCCAAAACAAAGCCCAGCAGAAAACACACTGAAATGTTACTGGTAACTATGTCTGGATGCTGAAAATTGGAGGCCTTTTATATTGTGTTTATCGTAATTTGAAGTTTCTGTAATGAAAACACAACACAATTAGGGAAATATTTTTTAAAATGCATGTCTTAGATGAAAGAGTGTTACCTGAGCTGTAAAATGGGGCTGCACCTGTCCCAAAGGTGGGCTGCGATCCAAAGGCCTCCTGGGCTCCTCGCCTGGCTTCCGGGCCTCGGGGGCAGGAGGGAGGGTATGGTGCGGTGGCCGCCCTGGGAATGGGATGGGGACAGGGTTTGTTGTCTGTACATCACTTCTGGATTCCTCTTGTGCTGAGTGCACTCAGAAAGAACAGCATGTTCCTTTTCGAAACCAAAGTAACTTCCATTTCACAGAGAACTTAGGGAGGGGCGGACAACAGTGAACTGTGACACACAGCATTTCGGCAGAGCTCTTGCACACACAATGCCACGCCCCTGCCACATACAGCCCTTGCTGTCCTCACAGCGGGGGCAGCAAGCACATTTGTGAACAGAAGCACAGAGATAGCCTTTCTGTGGCAGGCACAAGTAAGAAGCAAAAGCTTGCCAGGTGCGGTGGCTCACGTCTGTAATCCCAGCATTTTGGGAGTCTGAGGTGGGTTGATCACCTGAGGCCAGGAGTTTGAGATCAGCCTGGCCAACACGGTGAAACCCTGTCTCTACTAAAAATACAAAAATTAGCTGGGCGTGGTGGTGGGCACCTGTAATCCCAGCTACTCAGGAGGCTGAGGCAGGACAATCGCTTGAACCGGGGAGGCAGAGGTTGCAGTGAGCCGAGATTGCACCACTGCACTCCAGCCTGGGTGACTCCATCTCAAAAAGCAAACAAACAAACAAAAAGAAGTAAGAGCTTAAGTATAACAACTTAAAAATGATGGTTCTACTCAAAGCTTCGGCATGCTAGAAATGACCCCACATCAAACGAGATCCTTTCATCAATTCCATTCCTGTTATGTAAAGATCTGCTTTTTCTCTAAGCAGACACATCAGAAGACATAATTACTAAAATAACATTTCCCAGAATAACAAATCAGTTTCATTAAACTCACTGAGGATTCCAACAAGGTTTTTGGAGGGTGTTTATAACTGTTGACATTTCACATATTGGAAATTGAAACAGATTTTTTTTTTTTTTTTTTTGAGACGGAGTTTTGCTCTTGTTCCCCAGGTTGGAGTGCTGTGGCACGATCTCAATGCCCCCACAACCTCCGCCTCTGGGGTTCAAGTGATTCTCCTGTCTCGGCCTCCCGAGTGGGTGGGATTACAGGCATGCGCCACCCCGTCTGGCTAATTTTGTATTTTTAGTAGAGATGGGGTTTTTCCATGTTGACCAGGCTGGTCTCGAATTCCTGACCTCAGGTGATCTGCCTGCCTTGGCCTCCCAAAGTGCTGGGATTACAGGCGTGAGCCATGTGCCTGGCCAAAACAGAAAAATTTTAAAGCTTTTTAATCAATTTACTTGAAGTTGGCCATGATGAACATATTGCTTATGATCAACATCTGAAGAGCATCGCAGGATTAGCTCTGCCCTGTGGACATCCTGAGATGGGCCCTAAAATAAAGCATCAGTTTCTTCCAGACAATAAAAGAACCCAGAGAAGATAACACTTGGAAATGAACATGTTTCCCTTGGTTTATAAACACCTGAATTTAAAAGCCATGAAGTCAGAAGATGCACGTGTGGGCAAAAAGCTCCTGAAGACACTCAACACCATCGGTCACCAGGAGAATGTAAATCAAACCCACTGTGGGATCCTGCCTCACATCCACTAGGACGGCTAGGATCCACAGGATAGAAAATAGCCGGGCGCGGTGGCTCACCTGCAACCCCAGCACAGTGGGGGGCCCAGGTGCAGGCGCTGGTACTGGCCTGGGCAACACGATGACACCCCCACCTCTATTTTTAAAATAAATCTTTTTTTTTTTTTTTGAGACAGAGTCTGGCTCTGTCGCCCAGGCTGGAGTGCAGTGGCGCGATCTCGGCTCACTGCAAGCTCCGCCCCCCGGGTTCACGCCATTCTCCTGCCCCAGCCTCCTGAGTAGCTGGGACTACAGGCGCCCGCCACCATGCCCGGGTAACTTTTTGAATTTTTTTAGTAGAGACGGGGTTTCACCGTGTTAGCCAGGGTGGTTTCGATCTCCTGACCTCGTGATCCGCCCGCCTCAGCCTCCCAAAGTGCTGGAATTACAGGCGTGAGCCACCGCGCCCAGCCAAAATAAAATTTTTTTAAATAAAAAAATAAAGTTTTTAAAAATATGCAATAAGAGTATTCTTAATTAAAAACCGGACAGAAAATAGCAAGTGCTGGTGCAGATGTGGAGAAATCAGAAACTTCCGTGCACAGCTGGTGGGCATGGGAGGCAGTTTGGTGGCTCCTTACCAGGTTAGACACAGAATGACCACACGACCCAGCAAGGCCACCTCTAGGGAGGCACCCAAGAGAACTGAATGTTCACAGCAGCATTATTCCCAACAGCCCAAAGGCGGAAACCATCCAAATGTCCATCGAACTGACAAATGCCTACAGCGGCCTGTCCCCCACCAAGGAGCTCTTCCCACGGAAAGGAATGAAGTGCGGATGCCCCAGCACGAGGGACTCTGAAACATGACACAGAGGGAAAGAAACCAGGCACGAAAGGACACATCCTGTAGGATCCCGCTGAAGCGAAATGTCCAGAACAGGCAAAGGCATGGAGGCAGAAAGTGGGTGCTGGGCCGGGGACAGGAAGTGACTGCGAATGGGTGTGGGGTTTCCTCTGAGGTGATGAAGGCATTCTGGAACAAATGATGATGCTCGCACAACATTCTTAATGTGCTTAATGCACTGAACTGTATACTTTGTATACTTTATAAGCTTTCAACCCTACATTTTATGTGTATATTACCGAAGTTTAAAAAAATAAAAAAAGGGCTGGACGCGGTGGCTCACACCTGTAATCCCAGTACTTTGGGAAGCGGGCAGATCATGAGGTCAGGAGATCGAGGCCATCCTGGCTAACTCGGTGAAACCCCGTCTCTACTAAAAATACAAAATACAAAAAATTAGTCAGGTGTAGTGGTGGGCGCCTGTAGTCCCAGCTACTCGGGAGGCTGAGGCAGGAGAATGGCGTGAACCCGGGAAGCGGAGCTTGCAGTGAGCTGAGATCGCGCCACTGCACTCCAGCCCAGGCGACAGAGCGAGACTCCGTCTCAAAAAATAAATAAAATAAAATAAAATAAATAAATAAAAAAAGAAAGCTAGTTTGTGTTTTTGAGACAGGGTCTGGCTCTGTCATCCAGGCTGGAGTGCAGTGGTGTGATCTTAGCTCACTGCAACCTCTGCTTCCCAGGTTCAAGCAATTCTCCTGCCTCAGCCTCTTCAGTAGCTGGGATTACAGGCACCTGCCACCATGCCCGGCTAATTTTTGTATTTTTATTTATTTTTATTTATATATTTTTTTTATCCTTTTTTTTTTTTTTTTTTTTTTTGAGACGGAGTCTCGCTCTGTCGCCCAGGCTGGAGTGCAGTGGCACAATCTCAGCTCACTGCAAGCTCCGCCTCCCGGGTTCACACCATTCTCCTGCCTCAGCCTCCCGAGTAGCTGGGACTACAGGCGCCCGCCCCTGTGCCCGGCTAATTTTTTCTATTTTTAGTAGAGACGGGGTTTCACCATGGTCCCGATCTCCTGACCTTGTGATCCGCCCGCCTCGGCCTCCCAAAGTGCTGGGATTACAGGCGTGAGCCACCGCGCCCGGCCAATTTTTGTATTTTTAGTAGACAAGGGGTTTCACCGTGCTGGTCAGGCTGGTCTTGAACTCCTGCAGGCCTCAAATGATCCGCCCGCCTCAGCCTCCCGAAGTGCTGGGATTACCAGCGTGAGCCACCATATCTGGCCTTCCTTCATTTACTATTTATTGACTTCCCCTAAAATATAAAGGGTTATAATCTGTTCAGACAGCAAAGGTGCAGGGAAATTTTCCATACTTTTCGTTGACTGACTATGTCTTGGTGGTTTAAGAAAACAAAGCTTCCCACACTTAGGAGAGAGCTAAGTTTCTCTATGACTGTTCTCTCCCATGTTTAAGCATTTTGTCACTTTCACGTGGGTAGCTAAATATTATTTCTCATGTACCCATGAGTCTTAATGTTCAAATCTCCTGACATCTTTTTATTTTTTTTTTCTTCTCAAAATTTAATTCTAAATGTCAAATAAAATAAAGCTTTTAGGAAACTTTTTTTTTTTGAGATGGAGTCTCACTCTGTCGCCAGGCTGGAGTGCAGTGGTGCAATCTCGGCTCACTGCAACCTCCCTGGTTCAATTGATTCTCCTGCCTCAGCCTCCCAGATAGCTGGGATTACAGGCACCCGCCACCACGCCTGGCTAATTTTTGTATTTTTAGTAGAGAGGGGGGTTTCACCATGTTGGCCAGGATGGTCTTCATCTCTTGACCTCGTGATCCACATCCAGCTGCCTCGGCCTCCCAAAGTGCTGGGATTACAGGCGTGAGCCACCACGCCCGGCCCCAGGAGAACCTTTATATTTAAAATGATCTATGTGATGTCCCAGAAGTTCCCCGGAAAATCACAAAATTTTTTTCTTATAAAAAGAGAGGTATTTGAAATAATTAGGTACAAGGTGGGGTGTGGTGGCACGCGCCTGTGGGTCCCAGCTACTCGGGAGCCTGAGGCAGGAGGATCTCGTGAGCCCAGGAGGTCGAGGTTGCAGTGAGCTGTGATCACACCACTGCCCTCCAGCCTGCATGACAGAGGTCTCTATCAAAAAAAAAAAAAAAAAAAAAAAAAAAGAAAGAAAGAAAGAAAGAAAGAAAGAAAAAAGTAAAAAGAAAAAAGATGTTGGCCGGGCGTGGTGGCTCAAGCCTGTAATCCTAGCACTTTGGGAGGCCGAGACGGGCGGATCACGAGGTCAGGAGATCGAGACCATCCCGGCTAACACGGTGAAACCCCGTCTCTACTAAAAAATACAAAAAACTAGCCGGGCGAGGTGGCGGGCGCCTGTAGTCCCAGCTACTCGGGAGGCTGAGGCAGGAGAATGGCGTAAACCCGGGAGGCGGAGCTTGCAGTGAGCTGAGATCCGGCCACTGCACTCCAGCCTGGGGGACAGAGCAAGACTCCGTCTCAAAAAAAAAAAAAAAAAAGAAAAAAGATGTTAAGGAAATGATTAGTTTCTTTGATGTGTTAGGATTGATGAGTACCAGGGGAAGTACTGCTGAGTCGGGAGAAATGCGTGGC